CGCAGGGGCTCGAGGCCGAATGTCAGAGAGCTTGGAGGCTGAACGGAGATGATGCGTACGAGACAAAAGAAAAACACAGGAGAGGTTTTGATCGGAGGCGGCCAGAGCAACGGGGAAGGGCGAGGTGCGAGCGTTGTGGAGCAAAACACAAACAACACTTACAATTATGAAGACGTGAAGTCGCTGAACGATTGTGAACTTGACGATGCAGAAGAGGAAGGGAAGGAAAAGAAGAGAGAGAGAAAGGAGAGAGAAAAGCTGGGTATTAAATCAAACTAGAGCAATGCAGTATTCCAGAAAGAGCGAAGGAGCTTTATACTGATGCGACTAGAAGAGACAGAGGCAGGGTCGAGCCGGAAAGACGCAAAAGTACGGAGAAGGAAAGAAGAATTTTCTTGGCAATGAAAGGGTGGGCTCATAGGGGGGAAGGGGAAGGCGCGAATATTGCAGGCGTGAGGGCGTGAGGGTGTGTTGTGACGCAGCGATGGTGTCGTGGAGCCGCGGAGATGGGGCAGGGACAGCCCATGTCCGTTCTTTCCCTTTTCGTGGGTGGGCCTTGGCTGGCCGCTTGTGATGGGGCCGAATAAAATGAGAAATAAAATAGAATAAATAAATACCATAAGGGCAACAGGGGCACAGGTTGGGGGCGTGATCGCTGGCGTTGGCGACAAAGTAACAGCTGGCCCCGAGCCACCACGGCCAAAAACACGCCGTACCTGTGATGTACGGGGTACACGGAGCATGGCTTCTATTGGACGCGCAATGCCTTTCCAGATGCGATGCACTGCATCATATTACGTCGGAGCATGTCAATGTATCCCTGCGCGGGCTTGTAGGTTGGTCGCGGCTTCCTGATTTTGTGCCATTGGCACCTCGCACGTCGTAGGCAGGTTTTCTATCAGTTGCGGGTTGCACCTGCTGGATGCTGTTGCAATTCTACGACGTCAGTATGGGCGGGCGGATTTGGAAACTAAAAAACAAGGCAAGAGCACAAAGCTTGGCCAGGAAAGGCCATTACGACCGAGAATGTCTGTAAAAAATGACAGTACGCCCGAACATAGTCTCGTAGTGCCAGCCGCAGTTGGCAAGAGCGTTCGGTGACGGAGTGCCTTCTGAGCGACACATTGATCATGGCTCTTTACCCGCGCGAAATTGTACCCGATACAACCAAGCAACTTGCATCCACACCAACTTGGCCATGAGTCCTGGATCAGTGCCTGGACTGACCCAGCAAACAAAGTTTTAGCACGCTGAAGAGCAGCAGGGACCAGCACGCGGTAACGACATGTGGGTGCTGCCTCGCAAATCTGCACACATCAGTGGCTCGATCAGCGACTGCGTTCCTGAATGCGCCCGCCTAGCGCCGAGCAGCGAAGAGGATCGGCGCGCTGGCCTGACAGGCGGAGGGTTTGCAAAGAAAGGGGTTCAGAGACAGAAAGCACGCGGAGTAGGGCCTAGAAGCGAAAAGCAATGTACCCTAAAACCGTCAAGTCTCAACTCTTAGACAAAGACGACAAAAGGGATGTTGTCGAATGGTCCAGATTCCAGCCCGCTGCGTTGCCCCGAATTGGTCCACTTCGTCTCCAGCACTCAGTGCAGCATCTCGACGGGGAAAGACATTTGCTGATCATCGATCTCACCCACATCGCGCGTTCAGCATCCCCCCATCTCTCTCGGTGGAGCTCTGCATCCTTCCCATATTGCCGGCTCACGAGTGTGCAGTGTCTAACGGAGCACAAAAAGCAGGGGCATCCTCCGTGGGAAGAGCGCACGGGGACGGAAATATCTCACTGTCAGGTGTTCCCCAGGACCGCCAAGTCTGTTAGGCCAGGCCTGGGCGGTGCCCGCGATGGTCGCGATCGAAGCAGACGCAACCAACGACCAGGGTTGGTTGTGGGCTACCAAAGAACCTGGCTTCAATTCCTACCGATCTGGCCAAGAGCTCCGGCAAGTAGTTCACTTGCATACGGTGTTATTCGCTTTCTTTCTCGAGGGTGTGCCCAAAATGACAGCAGCAAACGACCGATTTCTGTCACAAAGTCCCTCGCCCTCTCCGGAATCAGCAAGCCTCTCCTGTAGCAAGCAACTGATGGGCGTGTTTGGCTTCTCCTTTTTCCTCTTTCTCTTGATTAAAATACGCACCCCCGGTCCATCTCCACCGGTTAGGCCTCAATCCAGCTTAGCCCAAGTCTGAGTGTGTGTGGAAAACTGTTTGGCAGTGCAGCCTCGCAGTATTTCCCCCTTGCATATTGCCTGCCAAGCCACTTCTTGTGGCAACTCCCGCCGGCCCTGTCAATAGCCAGATCAACCATCAGAGGCAACGTTTTCGAGGATGCCTCACGGTGACAATTTCTACTTGGAATTGTCATTTGCTTCTATTCATAGCGGAAAAGAGTGTAACAAAAAAAAAGCAACATCCGGCAATGGCGGAAGGCGACAAAGACGAATGTTATGAAGTACGCCGAGGCGACAAAAAAACACGTTAATCTCGTTCGGCACCTTTGTGAAGACCAACGACGTCCTGCCTATGTGAAAGCCCTCGTTGCATCACCCAACTGTTAGAGCATGTTTCCTTCTCCCGTCTTTCCCACGCTGCATATTGCTTAGGCAATATTTTCTCCGTGAACCAAGCGGCACATAAACAAGAAGAGTACACCAGAAAAGACGAGAGACAGAAATTCAAGAGACGCAGACACACAAGGTTCAACCTGCGGCAAGCGGGATGCCCAGCCGTGCCGCACACTGTTCATCTATCCCATATTGTTTGGGCAGGTTTCCTTGCCCACTGAAACGCATAGCGGCCGCTTTTATTCCTCCTTCCCTCTTTCGAGACCCTCTTTCCAAGGCAGGCCTTGTCATGGGGGAAGATGAAAGCCGTCCGAGCTATCGCTCGCTATGACGCTACGAAATGACGTTGCCAAAACGTGCGCCAAGACAATCCCCGAATAGTCGGTGCAACAGTAAACAAGGCTGGAGTTGTCAGGCCTTGTACTCGGGTTCTTTGGCGAAGTCATCAAAACCCTGCCGTAGGAGCAAGATTTGCCAAATTGGACGTCACATTTTGGGACTCATCTTTCAACAGCTAGGAGCGTCACTCGACATTCCAAAATGTGCATGGGAGTGTTCAGTGTTTAATGAGAGGACGTAGAGTCCGGACGGGAAGAGAGAGGTGGCGCCACAAATCAAACGACAAGCAGCTCTGCCTTGTATTTGCACTCGCACTCTTCCGTCCAATTTTTTGCGCCCTCATTTCAAAGGTGCCATACGCCACACATTCCAGACCGTTTTTGGGCGATGATGTAAAAAGGGTTAAAAATAGCCATCCCAAATACGGTCGCGAAACATGGAATCACAATCCCAACACAGCAGAGCATTTCCGTGGCTAGTCTTGGCAGTCGCCAGCCATGGAAAACCTTTTGTGGAAGAAGTCATGTTGGTGGTGTGACTTCAGTCTACAGATGCTGTAGTGTAAGATACGCACTACGCCCAACGCCTTCGCTTTTCACTCGCGTCCACCTTGGCACTGGTCATTGGCGTCGATCACAACGTATCGCCAATGAGCCAAGCCAGGAACATCAGGCAACCGGCTTTAAATATGCGGTCGTTTAGTCGGGCATAGCATTTCTCGATAGAGCCATGCGCTCGTGTACGTCTACGTCTTAAATTGCAAAATATTGTATATCGTTGAAATACGTCCCCATCCCGTGCCTTGTTTCCCTAGTTGGGTGGTTGTGCTTCTGTGATGTAACCTTCTTTTGGATCCAACCCCATAGGCCTTTTTGTATGGTTCTCACGGACGTCACTTGGTGTACCGATTTAGCTGCGTGGGCCTGGAACCAATGTCTCGTACAAGTTATAGGTCCTTGACGATGTCATGAATTTCGATATTCAATGGGTTCGATCTCGCCTTTCCTGCCGTTTACTTTGAAATTTTATTCTCATTCCCATTTTACTCCCATTTCATCCCCTTTTAAAAGTCTCCAATTTTGCTTCGGTGGGCTCCAATAGTAAAGTCCGCAGTGGCCTTAGATGTGTTAAGGTATGTAGACAAAGGTATGACGAAAGTACCAGTGACTTAAATTCGCATTCCCTTGCACCATACATAACTGCTGCTTCGCATTACCCACCAGCCAAACATGCATTGTATCAAGAGTCAGTAGGAATGATGGGCAACGTTCGACAATGCAAGTAAAAAGGAGAAAATGCCCCAAAGGAGAATAAACGCCGTCGGACAGCCGCCGGGGATCGGCGCAATGCCGTGTCTGAAAAAGAAGTACTCCGTCGCCATCATGTTTCAAAAAGTTAAAAATGCGGTCCAGGCTCTATGCAAAAATTTTAGAGTTCTTATCCCCTTGTTCGGAATAAACTCATCCGTAGGTGACGAAAGTTATCATGTTTTCGAAAAGTTGTTGCTCATGGTCACTATCCGTCTTTCTTTGTATTGTTGCGTACATATTGCCACATCCAAGCATCAAAACCACCGAACCAATGGTTTTGTTTATATACATATATATGCATATCTAGTTGCCATCTATCAAGACAACTATACGCAAGCGCATTTTTGTCGGTGCTAGATGTCTAGCTGTGAAAGGATACATAACAAGACAATGAACCCGAAACGAAACTGCTCAACAGCACAACCAAGCGGAAGAGCAAATTGATGCTATATGCCGCCCACAGGGTGCACATTACCGCGCACGGCGTTTTCGAAGTGGGATTCACGGAGACAGGCCTGGCCTAATTTGGAGATGGCGGACCTCATCTGCCAGGGAAAGTGCCGAACTGCATTTCCAGGGAAATATGAAACCAGCACGTTCTGTCGCATCACTACCGCGGCAATCGTCGATGACATTATGGGCCGAGCAACGCCGCCATTTCGCCAGTGTGCAGCACGAGAGGGGGCGGCGCAGGAGCTTCCGGAAGACCGGATGTGTCGAAACCGAAGAGAGTGCAAGCTCTCCTACCTTGGGTAGATTTGGGTTGGGAAGAGGAATGCTCATTCACAGCACACACTGCACTACGCCCCGCCGCACACCGTCTGCCTCCTCTCGCAGCTCGTTGACCGTGGCACCGGCCTCGCGCATGCGCTTGACAAAGTCGTCCAGCGAGCCGCCGACGCCGAAGTAGAGCTTCTTGGCACCGATAATGGCTTTGGCGGTGGCCGGAGCGGACGCCGGGCCGCCGTCCCGGCGCAGGATCGACAAGAGCGTCACGGCAAACGTCTCGAGGGCAAACGGCGAGTAAATGGTCTCGGCACCGAGGACCAGCGTATGGGGAGCCGGCTTTTCAGCAGCTGTGGTGTCATACAGCAGGTCGACAAACTCGGCTGACCAGCCGCCCGACAGAAATGAGAGCGTAATGCCGGCCGAGGCCACATAGGTACAAAACGCGTCCTTGACCTCGTCGGTCAGTTCTAGCTCGCCGTTGTCGTCGTCGCCGTCCTCGTCGATTATCAAAGCCTGCTGAAGGAGGGGACTGGCGTGCCGCTGCTGGAGAGCCCATGCCAGGACGAAGTTGGGTAGTGTGACCAGGTACAGGACACTGGGGTTGTAATCGGCAACGGTGATAGACAGCGGGTGATTCCGCTGTGCCTTGCTGTCAGAGCCATATGTTGCACATGCCCAGTGGAAGAGGGCTAAGGATGGCAGTGCTGTGCCGCAGCCGAGCTTATCGCTACGTTAGCAGAGATATTGTGGGAGCAAGCGGCAAAATCAGAGAACAAAAAGGACATGGTGTTCGGACATACCTCGATAATATGGGCGGGTCCGTCCTTTAACAAAACGGCACTTGCAACATCCGATGGCGTCGGCGCGGATGACGAGTCGGCTGTCGTTGGTGGCTGTTGGAGCAGCACCTTGACCAGGTCGACGCTGCTCTCCCAGCTCTTGAAACCGCCCTCGTAGATGCCAGTCTTGACATCGTGGGTTCCAAGACCGGGCGCAAGCTCGCCACTGCCGTTAGTGTTGCTGCCACCGTCCTCCTCGTCTTCCTCCGCCATCAACTGAACCTTGACGTCCCACAGCTCGCGTCGCGGCAGACGTATCCGGAACGGCGCCTCTCGCGGGACTGTGCTGCTGCTACCTTTGGTGCCATCAGCATCCACATGGCTGTCTAATGCCACGTCCAGAAGACTGTAGGCAATCTTGGACGGCAGCTTGGAGAGCATCTCCTTCAGGTCGTGGCGTTGTGGCAGTAGCTGCGGCTTGCCTTGGACAGGGAAGGCGCTGGCTGCTGGTGTCAGTGTGACCGTTGCATCCTGGGCTTGTACACCTGGGCCCGGAACGGTACTCGTGGTGCCGTCGTCCTCGATGTCGTCCCCAGAAAAGGAAAATGAAAAGGAAGCCATGGAAGCGTGGCAATGGCGGTTTGATTTGTCAGGCCGTCTGGATGCGTCGTTTTCCAGGGTGTTCTGTCTTCGGAGGCTATCCCGTCTAAGAATAATAGGTTCTATGTCTGTCACACCACAACGGACGCCAGTGGCTGCATGAGTTGTGTAAGACCTTTATCAAGATGCGGCCCCTCTTCTTCGGTCGGGTTGTACATGCAGCAGTCCACGAGTGCTGTTTCCATTCGTGTCTTGCAGATGACCAGTTTCCGAAATTGGATAAACAGCGTAGTATGCCAAACCGCTTTCCAGTCGTTGTTTCCCCAATTGGAAAATTGTTGTCTCTCTTTCCCTTTCTGCTTTTCCGGGTGTACTTTCCTTTCGTTGCTATTCCTCGCACGTACATGTCGTCGTTCCTTCTTCGTTGTCCGGCGCAAACAACTTTTTTTGTGGGTACCACGCAGCAACAACTCCCACTTTCCCTCAACAGGCCGTCACCGCCTTCCCTTTTCAGCGTAAATGTTTAAACCGGCACGACTCTCCGCAGCTAGCCACACAATCCCTGCACATGCAGCACCTTCCTTTGAGCCCCCCAGTAGAGCTTCAGTTGCTTTTGTGCTCCCTTTTACCATTGGCCACTTAACTTCCCACTTGTGATCACCTCTCAACTATTTTCAAAATGCAGCCTTCTCGACTTGTGGTTGGACAATTTACGACCTCACGCCAGCCTTATTTATTGGCAACGTTTCCCTCTTCGGGCTATCGTTTGCATTGTGTCTCTCCTTTGGCTTTTCTTTTCCACCGAATGCTTCCTTTCATCCTCCACGTGGAGTGGAGGTGTCTTGTCCCTCTTGTTCGGCTTTCTTGTTTCGTTTCGTTACATTGTTTTCCATGATTCAATGGTCTTTGCTAAGTTTTCGTCATGCTGGCGTCCGGATGAGACAGGGCACACAAGCGATGCCCGCCACCACTTGTCCACCGGGGCCGCCAACAGGTCGGCTGCAATCTCGTTGTGTGCTGTCAACTCGTGTTTCTCTCATGCGTTTATGCTTCTTCTCGTGTTCAATTCCCTTCGTTGCTATCTTCCACGCGGCCATTGTTGATGCGCTCCCCTTCCCTGCAGCTGGGCCTACGGCTCACTTCTGCTTCGTTACACGAATCTTACTGCCAGAGGTCCTCCTCTTTTGTCAATCGAGAAAGCCCTTTCTCTCCAACTGGACACTCGCCGTTTCCCGTTTAGCTGGCCATTCCTATGGTCCACTTCCATGCGGCCCAGATTGTCCATCTCACTATCCCTGTCACACAGCATCGTCGTCTAATACGGTCCTCTCGTCTCGACCGACTAACTCACTATCATCGGGCCTAGCTCCAAGTATGCTTACCTATTTGCATGCACATGTTCCCCGCACCAAGACTATCCTTGCTTGCACCTCTCTTACCTTCCTTTCCCAGTCTTTTGTTCTTCTCTCATCTTTTCCTTTTATCCAGTGGTTAGCACACGGCGTGCACCAAGTGACCGTTGAACTGATACTCGTCGCCATTCGCCGCCCCCCCCCCCCCCCAGCTTCTGCTCCAGTCCCTTGCACGCGACCTGCCAACACGGTTAGCCCTTGTTTTATGGCAAGCGCACCCGTAAATTGACCAACGAGGTCGTGAGACTTATGCTCCTCCTTCATACTCTACGGTCCGCCACCGCTTCTATCCTCTTTCTGTTGTGGGGCACGTCCATTTCCGGCGTCGTGTGGGTTGGCTGGAAAGCGGACGGAAGACCGCATGTCTTACGCCATAACGATATTATTTTATATTATTACATTTTCTTTCTTTTTTTGTTTGCTCCGCAAAGGCCGGGAAGATGTTTTCAGCGCGAGATGTGGGCGTAGTCCACCTTCCCCAAGCCAGTCGACAAGATGTTGACCGAGGCATCCCGTTTTGATCATTGATTGATTTTGTGTCATCATCTGTCGGACGCTAGAGCCCATACCTGACCACTCAAATAACTGACGACGGAGACATACTAAAAGAGATAGAGACACGGCGGGACCTGTGTCTGTTGGCACCCGTTTGTTTGCTGTTTATTTTGATCGACACATATGCGCCGACCCTCCGCCGGAAGGATCCTTTTCGGCCATATAAGTTCTCTGATTACCTTGTCTTCCTGTGTTCTTATGCGGCGCTCTGTTTTTTTATTCTGAAGTATCTTTTTATCTATCTTCTTGTCTGTATCGTTTTCGAACAAGTTCTCCTTTGTCAATATATCATCGCAACACAGCGAGTTACTTTCCTCATGTTCTCTGTTTTTCGTTTCCTTGTCGTGGCCTAAATTGCAGTTCACTTAACATCCTCTTTGCTTCATCTCACCTTTAACAGAGACAAAGGAGCGTTTGATAAACACTCTTTGTTTATTGTACCTACCTGCCCTCTGGAAAGGCTGGGGTTTACTGACTTCAATACATCCGTACCCACAAGATGGCCGACATTGGTGGTGGTCATGCAACTCGCCTACCCCTTGACTCCAGCCGTACCAACAACGCCATGTTTACGCCCGCATATACTGTCAAAGAAGAGCCTCTCGGGACGGCGCGGCATCTTCGAATTGTCGGTATCGGCGCCGGTGCCAGTGGGATCAACATGGTCCGCACTTTACGTCTGAACCCGGGAAAGAACTACGAGCACGTCGTCTACGAAAAGAACACGGACGTTGGCGGCACTTGGCTCGAAAATCGCTATCCAGGGTGCCGTTGCGACATCCCCAGCCACAACTACCAATTCTCGTGGCGACCAAACCGGGAGTGGTCCAACTTTTTCTCGGCGGCCGAAGAGATCAACGCGTACCTGTGCCGCATCTGCGAGGACGAGGGCATGCGTGGCAGTGTGATTAAGACGCAGCATGAAGTGCTGGGTGCGCGCTGGGACGAAACTCAGGGTCGGTGGCTGCTAACCATTGCCAATCTGCTTACGGGCGAGCACTTTAGCGACTACGCCAATTTCTTGATTGACGCATCCGGGATCTTGAAGTGAGTACCAACCCGCGATCATTCTGTCTCGGGGCAATAGTAACAGTCTAGCAACTGGAAATGGCCTGATATTGAAGGGCTGCACGATTTCGAGGGCGATCTTGTCCACAGTGCCCGTTGGCCAGCCGAGTTTGACTACAAGGATAAGACGGTGGCCGTAATTGGCAACGGCTCGTCTGGCGTCCAGATCGTGCCGGCCATCCATGCCGATGTCAAGAAACTCGTGCACATTGTTCGGACACCAACGTGGATTATCCCGCCGCGAGTCCAAATATTCAAGATGGGGCCGGCCGCCGAGGTCATGGGCACGATCGAGCTTGACGTCGAAGAAAACTTTACGCCCGAACAAATTTCGCGCTTCCAATCCGACCCGGCCTTGTACCGCACATTTGTCAAGACCATTGAGAAGGAAACCAACAACTCGTTTCCTATAGTGAGTAGCCGTCCTGGCAGAGCTTGGTTTTTGGTTGGTTCTTCTTGCTGACGGAAAAGCTCCTCAAAGACAGCCCGATGCAGTCATTTGCTGCCGGACACGTGCGCCAGTATATGACTGCCATGTTGGGTGAAGACGAGCGGCTTTGCAAGGCTCTGATCCCCGATTATGCGCTCGGCTGCCGACGCATGACACCGGCACCGCACTATCTGCAGACGCTGACCCAACCGAACGTCCAGGTGGTCACAGATGGTATCCGCCGGGTCCTTCCACGCGGCCTGGAGCTGGATAACGGTGACGTTGTCGACGTCGATGCTATTGTCTGTGCCACGGGATTCGACGTGTCGTTTTGCCCCAGGTTCCCACTCGTCGGCCGCAACGGCAATCTGCAAGATCTTTGGCGGGAAAACACACCCCAGGCCTACATGTCCTGTGCCGTGCCGGGGCTGCCCAACTATTTCAGTAAGTTTCATTTCACGTTACGTCCAGATGTGTCAGGGAATTATGTGCGAGAATCTCCCACTGATTCTCCAAACCAGCGTTCCTGGGCCCCAATGCCCCAATCGGTCATGGTAGTGTCTTCACGCTGGCCGAGCACATTGCCACGTACATTGCTGGTGCTATTCACAAGTGCCAGACCGAGGGCATCAAAGCCATTACTCCCTCCCAAGCCGCCGTCGACGACTACAGCGAACACATCCGCGCCTTTATGCCGCGCACGGCCTGGTCCTCCTCCTGTCGCTCGTGGTTCAAGGGCACCAGTGATGGCCAGCAGCGTCAGGGCGAAGACGAGAACGGCCCGGTCACAGCACTGCACCCGGGCAGCCGTATCCATTTTTTCCATATGCTCGAGACTTTCCGCGGCGAGGACTACGAATACGTGTATGAAGCCGACGATAGTCGTGACGGAGCTGCCGTTTCGAGTCGCAACCGCTTCCGGTACCTCGGCAATGGTTTCTCGACCAAAGAACTTGACGACGAAGCGGATCCGACTTGGTATCTGGATGACATCGCACTGACAGCGACGACGCCGGACAGCAGCGCTGGTCCCCAGATGGGAGACAAAATCAAAGCGCTGCTATAAGCGTATGCATAGCAGAGCACGAAGTAGACGTGGTGGAAAACTGATAGGCATTATGAAAAACGAACTCGTTACGATGGTTTACGATAAACGACGAACAAGCAATGCACTGATACAAGAGTTGACTATAAAAATCAAAACCATGGCGTGCCTTTTACTTTAAAAAAGATACCCGGCGGTCCGGCCTAATACTGAAGCCGTCTTTTCATAAACAAGACCCCATTCTGTGACCGTATCCGCACACTCATTCTTCTTCCTTGTACGTCGAACTGGCAGCGAAATATGGTTGTAAGCACCGTCCTGAGTCGCCGCGTCCTGTTGGCAGCACAGCGAGACCGTCTTACACAGATCAGATAACGCGACATAAGAAAGAACAGGCCAAGGTCTGTCAGATCATCCCGCTTGACCACATGGCTGTCTTGACCACATTCTAGGGCCGTATGCAGAACCGAAAGTCAACAAAGCGCCCTAACGGCGACGACCGAAATAAGTCAATAGAGTCACGTGCCAATTCTGCGCCACATATTACCAGCCACATCTGTGAGAAAGTAGTGAATGGGGCAGCTGTACGGAGTATTAGGTGCAGCCTGCAGCCGCCAACGCGCGCCAAAGGCCAAAAAAGTCTAAGGAGGTGCGTCGCGATTCAATCCTAGGAACTTCTCCAGCTGCAGCCAGCGACGACGACACGAGCCCCACGACGCGCGGGCATTCATCCAC